AAAGAGTTAAAGTCTAAAGAGAAAAGGTACTTAATGTGTACCCAGGTGTTTATTAAAAAAACTTTTTTTTTGTATTGTTCTATCTTTACCTAGGCATGAAACAATTGGAATAAGTCGATGTTTTGTTTATTTTAAAAATTCTATTTTTCTAGAAAAGGCAATATTGAAAGGAATGTCTGCTAAGCAGGAATTAGTCAAGTTATTTGAGGGGGTGACATAGAGAGGAGGGGGCTTTGGGAGACAGCATTCCAGGCAAAAGGAAAAGTATGTGCAGAGGCCTGGCGGGCAGAGAGCACGTGTGCTCAGGGACCCTCCGGGGAGCTCAGCTTGGCTGGGGCTCGCACAGAACAGCGAGGCACAAGTCTGAGAGAGGGCAGCGGCTGGTCACGAAGGGCTTTGTGCACCCTGAGATTGGAGAGCCCGGGAGAAGGAAAGGGTTGAGGGGACAGGAATTCAGTTTTTGGACACGTGGATATGTAGTAGGAAACTGGATAGATGGTTCTGGAGATCAGGAGAGAAAGCTAACTTGGAAATTATTTGGAAATCATCAGTTTACGAACCGTAATTGAAGCCATGGAAGCAGAGATTGCCAGGTACTGAGGGAGGAGAGAAGAGGGGCCGAGAGAGCGCCTTGAGAAAGACACTTACGGATGACAGAGAATGAATGAAAACCCAGAAAAGGGACTGAGATGTACCCAGAGGCAGAAGGGAAAGCAGGAGAATGTGGTGAAATAGGAGTCACGGGAGAGCACTTCAAGAAGGCAGGGAGTGGCAAACAGGGCCAGTGGGAGGTCAGCCAAATGTCCAGTGACGACTCTGCGGGCAACGGTGTGGCTGGCTGGGCTGGGGGCAGGGACTGCTTCTCCTCTGCGACAGGAAGAGAGGGGAAAGCTGGGATGTTTAGGATCAGGAGGCAGGGAATTGAGAGATTTCTTGAATGATGACCATCAATTTTCTTTCTTTTGAGTGAGGGACAAGACAGTGAGGTGAGAGATTTGAGGTGAATGGGGAAGTTTGAGATAGTATCCATGAAGAAGCAAAGGGACTGACTTCAAGATGATGGACTGAACACATCCACCATCCTAAATAAACAACAATAGGAAGAAATATGTCAAAAATAACATACAAACTATTAATGGGCCAAAGATCTGGGGAATCTCTAAAAGAATGAAAAAAGGCCAGAAGCCAAAACAGTGAGCAGGGGCTGCAGCAGAACTGCCGACCCCTAGGCTGAATGGAGAAGAATTCGTTCAATCTGTAGTCACTGCATATCTACTATGTGTTAGACACTGTTCTAGGCACTGGTTTCTGCTGCAAAAGATGAGTGCAAACTGAGACTGGGAGACGGGGGCACTAGGAAAATCCAGAGCAGGGTTCGGTGGAGAGGAGAGATCGGGAATCTGTAGTGGCACTAATCTGAACAATCTGTGATTTTTCTTCAGCAACCCAGGTATAAGAGCGGAGTTGGACTGGCCTCGAAGTGGAGTTTTGTAGAATGGGACAATGGAAGGGGGACAGGGGCAAAGGCAAGAAAACAATTCAGCCAATTACATGAGGTCTGGACTTGCAGATCACATGTGTGATCTAATTAGACTCATTGGTCAGCAGCCAGTGCGGAGGGCGGACTAACACCTGCTTTATAGGTGAACCGTATTTTAAAACAGACCGTCTCAAACTTCAATATGCACAGGGATCTTATTAAAATGCAGAGCCTGAATGGGTAGAGCTGGGTGGGGCCTGTGACTCTGCATTTCTAATCGGCTCCTAGGTAATACAGGTGCTGCTGGTCTGCAGACTACTAAAACGATTAATTTTTTAACTGACAAATAAAAATCATATATATTTACCATGTACAACATGATGTTTTAAAATATGTACACCTTGTGGAAGGGCTAAATCAAGGTAATTAATATAGTCATTAACTTACACTTAACATTTTGGGTGGTGAGAACACAAAATCTACCCGCAGCGATTTTCAAGAATACATCACATTGCTATTAACTAAAGTCACCATGTTGTACAATCCATCTCTTATTCCTCTTGTCTGACTGAAATTTTGTATCCTTTCACCAACAGCCTTTTCCTCCCAAGACTACTCTCTGCATAGTAAGGTTTGAAAAGGTTTTGCTCTACTCTTGGGGAGAGCTGATTTGCCCTGTGGTACAGCTTGCCAGGGAGGTGCTGGAGCTAGCTGACTGTTAGAGCTTCAGGAACGCTGCTAGCCGAATGACATCATGTTGATAGCGTGAAATTGGTCATGATAGGAGTTTTTCCACTACAGAAACCCTCAAATCAGGGCTTTCCTGCACTCCTTTGGAGAGCTGGTTGTTAAACGTTTACAGGCACACCACTAGCTAAACCTACATAATAATGAGGCGTGTTACATAATGGGCTGCAGTGTCAGGGGTCACGAGAGCAAGTTTTGGGTTGGCCTTTATGCTTCATTCATACTTGATAAGAGGCCATCGGCCCTGATTGCTGTATCACAGGAAGTGCCTGCTAGAAGGCATTAAAGGAATTGACTTATCTCTGGGGCATCAGAGTACCTAACAGAGGCAAACACTTGATGTCATCTTATCTGTTTATCCTAGGAGCCACCTAGAGAAGTAGGGTTGTGGGAAGAAAGAGAGGGACGGAGAGGTTGCTACAGGCAAAGGGTGACTTGCTGGAAACTCTCACCTGTACATACTGCGTGGAATTTCCCTGGCTAACTCTGGGTAGTAGACTGGCTTTGGCATGGGTGTGCTAGGCTGCACTACCAGGTCGATCCTTTAATCTTTAGTTGGAAAATGTGAAAAGTCATTCTCAACAACAAAGAAAGAAACCAGTTAACTTCCATAATATCTGCTTTATGTACTGGCTTTTAAAACAGAGGCAAAATATTTTTTTTTTTTATAAAAAGACATACATCTAATATGGTCAAAGAAAACCAACAGAATCCCTTTTGGTGACAGTTTGGGAAGGAAAATGAAATCCTTCTGCTGAAAAAAGGGAGTCTCCTTTTTTCTGACCTGTGGGTCATACAGTTTTAATTTCCTCTTTCTTTTTTTCTTTCTTTCTTTTTTTTTTTTTAATTCTTTTTAATTTCATGAACCTGCTTGAGGCCACAAAGACTGCTCTGAATCCCTCAGCTGTCTGGCAGATGAATCGTGCCAGTTTTCCTCAGGTTACTGTCTATGCCAGGCTGAAGTGCCACAACTGACTGAATGTACCTTCAAATCTGCCTGCCGCATGACGCCGAGGTGCTCCAAGGGGCTCCTGAGAAGGTAGGTGGAGAAGAGAGACTGCATCCAGGAGCTTCTCTGGCCCTCAGAAGAGGGAGGCTCCTGGGGAGTCAGTATAGTGACACCTGGCTCTGACTTTTGGGAGCCAAAGCTGGCCAGGGGCCCTGGAGATGCAGGGAAAGGCTGTGCCATGAGCAAGGTTCACAGAGGGAAAATCTTCCTTCTCTGAAGCCAGCTCTCAAGGGAACTTGACTCAGAGCCCTGGTAAATGGCAGGGCTGCTCCTCATCTCTGGGTCCAGGGGGGAGAACAATGGCATGACACCATATTATCCAGGAGTTGGGGGTTTTATGACGGGGGTGGAGTGGTGGGGTGATGTGTCTGCACATGTGTGTGCATGATGGTGTGGGACATGGCTTGTTTTAGCTCCCAAGGTCCACGTCTCCTGTCTCTCCAGGGAAGAAGGGGGTGCAGAAGGGGCCTGGTCCTCAGAATGGCTGCTCCTATGGCCAGCTAAGGCTCTGCTCTATCTCTAGCCAAACTCCTTCTCTTCCTCCCTTGCATCCATCCACTGCAGTCTGCTCATTTGCCAATTACTGCACAAGCACTATGGGCAGGCCACTGAGCTAATGCCATGCAGCGGCTGGATCTCCATCCTCTCAGTGTAGGAACAGAGGGATTGGTATGGGGATGGGGAAGAAGAGAGGGCAAAGCCTAACTGCTAAACCCAAACATCTCAAAGACCTGGAGGGTCCACAGGGAAGTGAGACTCTGTGATAACGTCAGATATTTCAAGCCTTGCCAAAAATGATCTGACTCTCTAAATCCTGCCGGTCCCTATTAGAACCTGTCCCAGGGTTTTAAGTTTCTCCTCACTGGGATCTTCCCTCCAGGCAGGCGTGGCGCAGGGATGGAGCAGTTTGCAGCAAAGAATAAAGGTCTCGAGAAGACTCAGACAAGTAAGAGAAGGAAGGCCTCCAGCCAGGGTCTGCTGAACCCAATAAAAAGTTCCTATTGACCTCAGAAAGTAGAAGAGTCACTGTCAGGCACAAAAGCAGGGCTGGACCAGGCACTAACAGTACAGATATCTAGAACGAAGAAGTACTTTGAAGAGGAGAGGCAGGCTGTATTACAGTTGTGTGGAGAAAGAAAGTGTGGTCTTTCCTGCGTGCACGTGTGCGCATTTGTACAGGCACGTGCCTGCGGCAGTGCTCGCTCACCATCTAAGGGCGTCTTCTGATTGCTCTAGGGATGCAGAAAAATTCCCCAGGCCCCAGTCACTGGACTCTCTCCGAGGCAAGAGTACAGGACAAAAAGCAGTATAAGAAAAAGCCGTCTGGTGGCTGAAACCAGCCCTACCTGCTTCGTGCTTGTTCCCTCCCAGGTTGGCAGGCCCCAGTATTGCCAATCTATAAAGCTTTAAGCATGACCAAAGAAGGTACTGCCTTAGGACTCTGTGCCTAAGTGCTGCTGGAAACTTGGGGATACCTTCTCCTGGATAAGGTGTCCTTCTGGGAGCCACTTACACAATACAATTGTGTTCATCATGACATTTTTGTATGTGTTATCCCATGTAGGAGGGGGCAGTTCCACTGGAAACTCCCCTTTACAGAGGGTTTTCCAACACTAAAGGCTTCTAAAATGGACAGCAATCAGAGTACTGACTACAGAAACAAGTGGTAAAGACAAACATACATCCTCTCCCCACCAGAGAAGCTCTGCACCGACAGGTGCCTGTCATAACCAAGTCAGGCTAGACATCTGATGACACCTTTACCTGTTCCGGATCCCACGACATCCCGGCTTGGTGACTCGGCCATGGCATCGGCGAGCCGCTCCCGGAGTCCCTCCTCTGTGTGCTCCATGGAGGACATGTGCCGTAGCCCAAAGCCCTCCGGCCAGCTCCCGCACACCTCCAGCAGGGTCACGCTCCGGTCAAAGGTACCTGTGGCACACATGGGACATGGGACATTGAATCTGTGCCTTCTGAGAGCATGCTATTCTTTTTACCTACCCAGCACCAACTCCCCTCCAAGCCCAGGGTCTAGTTTAGCCTTTTTGCAAGATGGATGACCAGGAGAACGTCACGAAACAGGGATGTGCAGTGCGGAATAAAACAGTCCCTGCCACTGGATGAGAGAGTGTAGAGGCTGGTGGCTTTAAAACTGTTTCTGAGGAGCTACAGCGTTCCTCTGGCTGTCAGAGACTGCTTCGAGAACTAAGACAAGGGAAAAGAACCACTTTCCCAGGTTGAACCAAAACATCTCTACCTTTCTTTGTTTGATACAATGGGACTCCACCTAAAATTCCATTTAGAAAAGGGGTTACATAACCTAAATTTTTTAAACAAGTTTTCTAAACCATTATATCTTATAACTTATACTCAACCTCCTCATTTTACAGTTGAAGCTCAGAGAAGTTATGGCCCAAGATCGAACAGCGAGTATGTGGCAGACTTGGTTCAAGAACTCAGATCTACTGCTGTCTGAGTCCAGAAGTCATTCTCCTACACTGCACAGTCTCCCGGCTGCCCAAGGACACGTGCACAACCCGGCGCTATTTGGGGGATACCAGCAATAGAATTGTGTGATAGCATCTTCAGCAAGAATCATTCCTTAATCCAGAGCTGCTCCCCAATTTCAAAAAGTACGCAGTGTTCTGCTGAATGCCAAGATTAGATTTTTACATGCAAGATCACTTCAAAGTCCAAATTTAAATTATTCTACTTTATTATACAGCAAGTCTTCTGTGAAAGCTTATTTCATCCACTCTCTTTGGAAAGAGATTATAGTCATGCTCTGTTGCTTTAAGCACATACCATTTCCCCAGTGTTAGGTAACTGAATCCGCTGCATTTATTGGGCTTGGTTCCTGCCAGCACCAGGAAGATGGGGAAAAAATGCAAATGCCAGTGTTTCCCAAAGTTAAAAGTACATGAAACACACACTCTTTATCAGGCCTTGCTTCTCTTCTTTGATCAGCCGTCAGAAACTATCTTCCCTAGGCGGTCGGGACTGGGCAGTGTCAGCACACACTCTCTGCCAATGACAGGTGGTAATAGAGAGGGTGCGAGCCCCAGCCCCGGCAAGCGGCCCTGCCTCTGATAATGGCCGAAGCATCGAGGTGATAACCGTTAGTAAACACTCCAACAGCCGGTGACTCCATACATCAGCAAAGAGGGCTAGATAATTCTGAACTCTCCTGACTAGACAAAGGCCCTTTGCCAGCCTGCAGGGATTTACATGTGTGGCAAGGGTCACTACTGGCTCCTGAATTTCATCAGCCAAGTTTGGCTTTGATTTATCTCTTACCTAATTGTAGGGTAGATTCCTGGCACTGGGAGAATGGGCCTGTATAAATGCGCCTCCTCAAGAAGAGGCCCACCTTGGGAGAGGACTGCTTGGGATGAGCTTGTCAGGTAGGACTCAGGAATGCGGAGCTGCCCTATACCACCTTGCCGTGGTTTGAATGTCCTCCCAAGCTCATGCTGAAGCTTCATTCCCAATATGATGGTGGAAAGTGGGGCATTTATGGGGTGATTAGATCTGGAGGACTGTGCCCTTGTAAACGGACTATTCCATTTGTGGAGTAATAAGTTGGTGGTTTAATGGGTTGTCATGGGTGTGGACTGGTGGCTTTATAAGGAGAGCACATAAAAGAGCTCTTGACATCCTTGCCATGTGATTGCCTGTATCACCACACGACTCTGTAGAGAGTTCCCACCCAGAAGAAGACCTTCACCAGATAGGCTCCCTGGACCTTGGACTTCCCAGCCTCCAAAACTGTAAGAAATAAATTTAGTTTCTTTATAAATTACCCACTTTCAGGTATTCTGTTATAAGCAATAGAAAACTGACTTTACACACCTTTTCTCACCATCAAGTAGGGTGAGGATTTAGGTCTGGGGAGCTAGGTGTTGGGACCTGGGGGTGGGGTGCTGAGTGTCAGCCGATCCTCCAAGGGCCTGAACTGTGCTAGAGTCAGTGCTGGCAGTGCCAAGCCCAGAGCCAACACTCAACCAACACTAGCAACAGCTCCCCTGGGCCCAGTTCCCCAAGGACACACAGGGGCTGATGACATAAAGCTTTTGAGTCTACTGTCTACTCACTGAGTGATGTCAGGCAAGTCCCTCTATCTCCTTTTCCCATCTCTGAAGTGAAACTAATAACTCTTTGCTCTGTTTCAAAGGAGAAGAGATAAAGCAAGGTTCCCGCCTAGAGTCTGTGCTTTCCTCTAGTGCTTTTCCAGTCTTACTTGACAGGATCAAGAGCTATAGCATCACTGTTTTTCTGAAGAGGCTGCCTCTTCAGAACCACAGGGACACCTAGGCTTAGTGATGTCCAGAAGAGGGAATGACCAAGAAAACGTGGGCCCTCCTCTTCCCTGTATACTCAGCTTTCTTACACACAAAGATGTTTTAGACGGCTTGGAAAACTGGGAAGAAAATGACCATTCATTTTCTCACTTCACAGGAAGAGGGTGCCTCCCTCTAGAAAGGAGCTCAGTCAGTGTTTGTACATATTGTGTGTAGAGGTCAGGGCAGGCGAGCTGACAGTAGGGCCAAAGGGAATATCAGAAGCCAAATCAGGAAGAGAACAATAAAGCAAGAAGGGTTCAGGGCAAAGCGTGGCCCAGTCCATGACAGACGGTAAAGGCCAGAGGAGTATATAATATTTTAGGGTATAAGGAACAGTACGTAGGAAAAAATCATGAGCTAGTGTTAACAGTAACAAGTATGCATACCTTTACACTACCGAGGCATCAGCACTTGACTGTCACAGTGGTCCCGAGAGGTAGTACAAGGACTACCCCAATTTATAGAGGAGGAGCTGGAAGCTCAGAGAAGTGAAGTGACATATGTTCAGAATTTCTAAGTGACAGATGTGGAACATGGGCTCCTAATTCTTAGCTTGGAGCTCATTCTATCAGCTCAGTCACTGCCTCCCTTAGCGGCACCAGCAGTGGAGAACTGTCATATGCAGAAATCACCTCCATCCTCCTCAACTTATTCTGAGAAATCCTGTCACCTTTAACTAATGCCTTTTAAAACTCTTCCACTCCCAACCAGTCCAAATGCCTTGGAATATCATGGTAATGATGATGAGTCACCCTGTCTACTAGGTGGCACACAGGTGAGGAAAACTGATAGAAGGTCTGTTCTCTCTCAGCATGGGCATGGCTAGGAGGTTGTGGGTAGGACATGGGCGACACTAAAGTGTTCAGCAAAGGGTCACTTGATTATTTCTGCTGTCCTGAGAAGTCTCAAGGAAGATACAATCAGTGGTTCTGCTTCTCCTACTAGAAGGAATCCCAGCAGAGGCTCTGCAAAACCCCCTTCCTGTCCCTCCCTCCCATCCCTGGCAGCCCCTTTGCCAAGGACAGCAAAGGAGCTCATGGAGTGTCCCAGCCAAGGAGTGAGAGCACGGCTGCAGGTGTGTGCACATCAGCAGGCGCTGGGGTGAAGAGGCCACGCCCTTGGAGGGTGAGGTCACTCTTAGGAAACGGCACATCTTGTCAGTGTTGACAGCACAGCTATCACTCATCTGGCCAGCCTGCAGACACTCCATCAGATGGCTGGCTCTTTGGGTGCCATTATGGGGAAAGGGTCAGTTTCAAGAGGGAGGAGATGCTTATTTAGTGCAGGCTGTTTGCAAAGCACAAACTGCACACGCTTGGCAACAACGGTCTTTTGCTGAAGCAATGCTCTGCTGTTTACAAAGCCCGCTCACGTTTATTACTTCAGTAAACTCACACATTCATCAAATATTGATTAGTGTCCACTGTGATATGAATCAAGCACTGTACTGAGGTATGGGGATACAGAGTAAGCCAAAAAGAATAGATAGATAGATAGATAGATAGATAGATAGATAGATAGATAGATAGATAGATAAATAGATAAATAAATAAAGGAGCTTGTGATACTTCACGAAACTCTGGGAAGCAGCAATTATCACCATTTTACAGATTTACATCCTGCTGAGTTTGAAAGACATGAGGTAACTGGTTCTAGATGTAATAGTCTTCCCGTGATGCTGCCTGGGAATCCTTTCCTTCAGGGCTGCTGCCTTCCCTGCTATTCTCTGAATGCCATTCTCCAAGACTGAGGTCAAGTCTTTCCTGCTTAATGAAACCTTGAGCAATTACCTAAGGTCTAATAAATGCTCTTCCACAAACTCTGATAGGACAAAAGGTTCTTTACCTTTTGGGATAAAGTTGATGAAAACTATGAACTTACCCTAAATTTGTGTGCTTGTGGGATGTTTGTGGATGCCTCTGAAGCCCACATGGACCCCAGGTTAATTTATGGACCCCATAAATCATTCTATGGTCTTATTCCCATACTGCCTTATATTGTCACATGATCTAGTTTAGAGCCTCCTGAAGGCATGAATTCCTCCATAACGGAATTAAGCACAGGACTTTGTACATCATGCCTGCTCAAAACAGATTTGTTTACTGACTGATTATGACCATCTAAGAAATCTGACGGGGACTTCAGAGTCAATACCCTTTGGGTGAGGTACCAGATCCTGGACATCTCAGGCAAGCGTAGGCAAAAATGGAATAAAATTAAATAAGAGGAAGGAGGAAAATGACAAGTGATCAGGAAACAATGTCACAATTTTACTCTAATGTTTTCTGTGTACTTAATTTAGATTTGGAGATTCCAAGAGTTTGAAAAATCAAAACAATCTGCCTGGGATGGCAGAGAGCTGGTCTCATACAGGTGAGCTTCCTGGTTTGGCATCCTGTGTTATATCCTCTCCCCAGAGGAGAAATGGGTCAGGCTCTTGGGTTTCAAAAACCCATTAAAGGCATGCTGTGACAGCTGGTAAGCTGGCAGCTCCTGGGGAGGCTAGGGAAACACGTGCTCTGCCTTTGTATACCATGGTCAATGGGGCAAGGCAGCCCAGAGCGTGGAGACGGAGTGGGGCGGGGAGGG